CTGGTTTACATTCCTACCAGCAGTGTAAAAGTGTTCCCTTTACACAACATCTATGCCAACATCTATTCTTTTTTTACTTTTAAGTTGGACATTCTTGCAGAAGAGTAAGGTAGTGTCTCACTGTGGTTTTAATTTGCATTTCCCTGATAATTAGTGATGCTGAGCATTTCCATTGTGTTTGTTGGCCATTTGTATATCTTCTTTCAAGAATGGTGAACAGGCAACCTACAAAATGGGAGAAAAGTTTTGCAAGCTACCCATCTGACAAAGGTCTAACATCCAGAATCTACAAGGAACTTAAACAAATTCACAAGAAAAAATACAAACAACCCCATGAAAGTGGGCGGAGGATATGAAAAGACATTTCTCAAAAGAAAACATTTATGCAGCCATCAAATGTGAAAAGAAGCTCATCATCCCTGGTCATTAAACAAATTCAACTCAAGACCACAATGAGATATCATCTCCCAGCCAGTTAGAATAACAGTTATTAAAAAGTCAGGAAACAACAGATCCTACAAGGCTGTGGAGAAACAGGAAAGCTTTTACATTGTTGGTGGGAGTGTAAATTAGCTCAGCCATTGTGGAAGACAGTGTGACAATTTCTCAAGGATCTAGAACCAGAAATACCATTTGGCCCAGCAATCCCATTACTGGGTATATACCCAAAGGATTTTAAGTCATTCTACTATAAAGACACATGCACATGTATGTTGTTTATTGCAGCACTATTTACAATAGCAAAGTAACTTGAAACCAACCCAAATGCCCATCAATTATAGATTGGATAAAGAAAATATGGCACATATATACTGTGGAATACCAGGCAGCCATAAAAAAGAATGAGTTCATGTCCTTTGCAGGGACATGGTAAAGCTGGAAGCCATCATTCTCAGCAAACTAACACAGGAAAAGAAAACCAAACACCACGTTTTCTCACTCATAAATGGGAGTTGAATAATGAGAACACATGAACACAGGGAGGGGAACATCACATAATGGGGCCTGTCAGGGGATGGGGGGCAAGGGGAGGGAGAGCATTAGGACAAATACCTAATGCATGTGAAGCGTAAAACATAGATGACAGGTTGTTAGGTGCAGCAAACCACCATGGCACATGTGTGCCTATGTAACAAACCTGCACATTGTGCACATGTATCCCAGAACTTAAAAATAAAAATTTTAAAAAGAATGGTCAGGCCAGGCACAGTGGCTCACACCTTTAATCCCAGCACTTTGGGAGGCCGAGGTGGGTGGATCACGAGGTCAGGAGTTCAAGACCACCTTGGCCAATATGGTGAAAACTCATCTCTACTAAAATACAAAATACAAAAATTAGCTGGGCATGGTGGCGCGTGCCTGTAGTCCCAGGTGCTCAGGAGGCTGAGGCAGGAGAATCACTTGAATCCAGCAGGTGGAGGTTGAAGTTAAGGAGCTGATCACAAATTTTTACTTCAGTGGTGGAGCATCTCTTTGACATCTAAAGGCAAACTCAGGAAATCCTAGAGCTGAGTCAGTATTTTTCTCAAGAATTAGCTTTGGTTCGATTCTGGCCAAAGAATACCTATGGAATTAACACCACTGTACTACAGCCTGGGTGACAGAGCAAGACTCTGTCCAAAATATTTTTTAAAAATTTTAGGAAGAATGCTCTGTAATGCTTCCATTTTTAATCCCAAGAATTATACTGAAGAGCAAGAACTATCTTCTTTTAATACCCCAGGAAAATACGTTGCTCAAAATCAGATGGTTCAAGGTCACATCACCAAGTTCCTTCCTGTGACTGTGGTAGATGACTCTTTAAAAGTCTTTAGGAATCATCCTGATCCTGTTTTTAGGGGAGGGTTTTAGAGATTGAATTCCATAGGTAATCTTTGGCCAGAATGGAACCAAAGCTAATTCTTGAGAAAAATACTGACTCAGCTCTAGGATTTCCTGAGTTTGCCTTTAGATGTCAAAGAGATGCTCCACCACTGAAGTAAAAATTTGTGATCAGCTCCTTAACATCCAGATTAGAAGTCACCCTTACTTGATAATCTTTTTACTTGATTGGTATCTGTAACCCATGAGTATGTATTAGGTTCATGCAAAAGGAATCGTGATTTTTGCATTGTTGGAATTTGCCCTTTGATGTTGGAATATATTCTTAAATGTGGTTATGTTATACATCATTTTAATGGGCATCTCTTGTTTTATGCTTTTTTGCTAATGAGTTATTTGTTATTTTATGTTTATTTTAGATTATGGAAAAATGTTAGGCAAAAAGCAAATTTGAGCAATTTTCTTATTCAAGTTCAAAATGGGTTATAAAGCAGCAGAAACAACTCACAACATCAACAATGCGTTTGACCCAGGAAGTGTTAACAAATGTACAGTGCAGTGGTGGTTCAAGAAGTTTTGCAAAGAAGACAAGAGCCTTGAAGATGAGGAGCATAGAGGCCGGCCATCAGAAGTTGACAACAACCAGCTGAGAGCAGTCATCGAAGCTGATCCTCTTACAACTACATGAGAAGTTTCTGAAGAACTCAACATCGACCATTCTACAATTGTTTAGCATTTGAAGCAAATTGCAAAAGTGAAAAAGCTTGATAAGTGGGTGCCTCATGAGCTGATCGAAAATCAAAAAAATCATCATTTTGAAAGGTCATCTTCTCTTATTCTGTGCACAACAACAAACTATTTCTCAATCAGATTGTGATGTACAATGAAAACTGGATTTTATATGACAACTGGTGATGACCAGCTCAGTGGTTGGACTGAGAAGATGCTCCAAAGCACATCCCAAAGCCAAACTTGTAACCAAAAAAAAGGTCATGGTCACTGGTGGTCTGCTGCCAGTGTGATCCACTACAGCTTTCTGAATCCCGGCAGAAACATTACATTTGAGAAGTATGCTCAGCAAATTGATGAGATGCACCAGAAACTGAAACACCTGCAGCTCACAATGGTCAACAGAAAGGGCCCAATTCTTCTCCACACAATGCCCTACCACACATTGCACAATCAATGCTTCAAAAGTTGAACAGATTGGGCTATGAAGTTTTGTCTCATCCACTACATTCACCTGACCTCTCGCCAGCCAACTACCACTTCTTCAAGCATCTCAACAACTTTTTGAAAGGAAATCACTTCCACAACCAGCAGGATATGCAGAAAATGCTTTCCAATAGTTCGTCAAATCCCAAAGCACAGATTTTTATGCTACAGGAATAAAGAAACATATTTCTCATTGGCAAAAATGTGTTGATTGTAATGTTTCCCATTATGATTAATAAAGATGTGTTTCAGCCTAGTTACAATTATTTAAAATTCATGGTGCAAAACTGCAATTATTTTTTCACAAAAAATAAATATAAATATACACACATATTTATGTATTACCTATGTAAACAAATATGTTTTTAATGTTCTTTAATTCCAGTTCACCATTGAACTTGTTTCCTCCCTTTCTTGTTTATATAAACAGAACAATGTGATCTTTAAAAATAATTTCTAAATTACCTCATAAGTAATTCCCTACAGATGTTCCCTCTTTCTTGTTGGTGTTTCTAATTTGCCCACAACATTGGATTCTGTTTAGCAACCAAGGCTACAGTGTAGCCAGGCCGACTAGAGCACTGACAATTTTTAATACTATATTTACGGACTAAGAATTAGATCATCAGTGCTAAATACAACTATGGCAAAAATTCTGTCCCCAACAAATTTTCTGTAACTTGAGAACACCCAAGCTAACTGGTTCTGGAAATAATGGGAACAAAACTGGATTTTTGTGTTGCAAATAGTTACGCTTCAAGAGGCAGGACTTGATCATGGGAACTCCCTGCAGGAAGGACAGCATAGAGTAAAGACTGCTAGGATAAAGAGCTAACCTTGTTAAGAGTGGTGCTGTGGTATGTCAGCTTTTTGCTATTTACAGTGGTGTGCTGAAGCTGACTCTTATGCACTCACAGGAGCTGATTCTTAAAATTTCCAGATTTTTGTGAGCCAGTTGATACCATGTTGATAGCTTGAAATAGGCTATGGTAGAACTATTTACACCATGGAAACTGGTAAATGCTACAAATCAGCTCCCCATTCCTCAAGAGCTGGTTGTTAGGTATTTCCCAGACTATCACTATTGGTCTGGCTCACAGCCATAGATGAGGTAGGTATTACTGCCCCCATTGTACAGATGAGGAAACAGACAAAAAAATCTTTAGGTTTTAGGGAGAAATTACAGAGGGGATAAAACAAAACAGAAAGCCCACTAAAAATCTGAAGCAGAAGGAAATTGCCAAAGTAAAAATAGGGACAGGACAGTCCTGACCCTGAGGGCTGTCTCCAGAGGAGAAAGATACACAGAGGCAGGCAATGAGATAATCTCAGGGAAGGGACTGCCAAACTGAGGTTCAGAAGGCTGGGAGAACAATCTCAGTGAGGAACTAAGGAATCAAACAGAAAAGCCTCAGGAAGAGTTCAAGACTCCTCCACCCTTTTCCAGCCCCTACCTCTCCCTGCTTTGGTTAGATGAATCCCATTCAAAGGCAAGAAATTCCAGTCCCCTAAGGAGGAAGGGTTTGCTCAAGCTTGAAGACAGGAATTGGGCCATGTTTCCCAGGAAGCAACGTTTTCTGGGAAGTTGCAAACTCAAGACACAAGGGTATGTTCATTGCCTTTAGATTTACATCCTTGCTGTGACTGGATTGACAAAGGCCCTTGGCCAAGGTGTTGCTCCTAGAATTACACCTCTGCCCAGGGCCCAGGTGGTTTCTCTATAAGATGGCAGTGCTTAGGCTTCTGTTTTTTCCCCTATCTCAAAGGTGGCACCCTCCTTCCTCTTCAAGGAGTTCAGTGTAAGGCAAGGGCCCTGGCCCCACAAAAGTCCAAGGCAAGCAGTCAGTGCCAGCTCAGCCACAGGGCATTCAAGTGAGATTCCATTTCTTCTGAATTTTGGTTTGCAGCCAACTAATAACCAAATATTACTCTGCCAGTCATTGTCTTTCATGTATTCTCCTCAGGAACCTTGAGGCAAGGGGAGGCTGTGGTTTGGACCATGATTAAGGTAAGCCTGGATCTATGACATTACCTATTGTTGTTTTCTCAAAGACCAAGAAAATGAAGAGCTCATACAGTTCACAGGAAGCCAGAAACAGAATCAGGTCTGATTACGACAGGGCCTGTGTTCTCTTCTTAGAGCTTTGTCGTGGGCCAGGGCAGGTGATCTTGGGAGAAACTCTCTTGCTGGTGTCCTGGAGGGGAGGAGCTAAACCTCCCTTCTCACATACTGATCTGTTTTCTGAAAAGGGAGAAAGCATAAAGGCAGGCAAAAGCCACTGTTTCTTTGGCTTTCTTGATTGAATAAATGAGATAATGGGTCAGGTGCGGTGGCTAGCACCTGTAATCCCAGCACTTTGGGAGGCTGAGGCAGGTGGATCATGAGGTTGGGAATTCAAGACCAGCCTGGCCAATATGGTGAAATCCTGTCTCTACTAAAAATACAAAAATTAGCTGGGTGTGGTGGTGCGCACCTGTAGTCCCAGCTACTTGGGAGGCTGAGACAGGAGAACCCTTGAACCTGGGAGGTGGAGGTTGCAGTGAGCCAAGATTGCACCACTGCACTCTAGCTTGGGCAGCAGAGTGAGACTCTGTCTCAAAAAAAAGAGAGAGAGGGGCCGGGCACAGTGGCTCAAGCCTGTAATTCCAGCACTTTGGGAGGCCGAGTCGGGTGGATCACGAGGTCAAGAGATCAAGACCATCCTGGTCAACATGGTGAAACCCCGTCTCTTCTAAAAATACAAAAAATTAGCTGGGCATGATGGCGCGTGCCTGTAATCCCAGCTACTCAGGAGGCTGAAGCAGGAGAATTGCCTGAACCCAGGAGGCGGAGGTTGCTGTGAGCCAAGATCGTGCCATTGCACTCCAGCCTGGGTAACAAGAGCGAAACTCCATCTCAAAAAAAAAAGAGAGAGAGAATGTACATATAGTGCAATAATGCTCGGCCTCTGGGATCAACATATGAAATCTGAAGAATGAGTTGATTAAGAGGTATCTCTTCTGTCTCTGCTCAAATATTTTATCTTATTCTGGAGTTATTAAGAAAATAAGGAATTTGGAGCTAGGATTCAAATAATCCCCTATCTCTTCAAAACATAATGACAATGATGTTATATTCAATGTTTTCTTGGGATTTCCTGAGTTTCTACTTCCTAAATGTCTTTATAGAGGGAAAATCCCCTCAGCCATGTCATCTAACTGCTGCTTCTCCTCTTTCTGGCATTTGAGAAGCCACCTATGGCAGACTCTAACAGGTACATACCGCATAGCTAGCCCCCTTCTTCCTTGCTTATGAAATCCTGATTTTACCCAAGTAGAGGAAAGCAATATGCTCAGGAAAGACTCCTCAAGAGAGAAACAATAATTAGTCTAAACTAATTATTAATAATTTTAATTATTAATAATTTTAATAATTTTAATTTTTATTTTTAATAAAATCTTTATTTTAATAATTTCTCTTTATCACAGATTGGTTTAGAGTGTATATTTCACCAACTTATGGCCAGCAGGATCTGAAAAGATGTCAGTTGGCACTTCTGCAAAATGTGTGTGCAGAGATGTGTGCAATGGAAACCTCTAAACATCTTTCCTGCTTTGGCTTTGCATGTGAAAGAAAATATGATGCTTGGATGTCTGACTCCAAAATGTGGCATGGAAGCAAGCTGGCTTCATGTCCCCCAACCACAGAAAACCAAAAGCAAATGTACAGCCCTGAGATTATCACCAGCAATATCCCAGAAATCAAATACGAAAATAAGATAGTTCCAGGGCCACAAAGAAGTAAAAAAAACTCCAAGTAGACAGGAAGAGAATCAAACTTCCACATCCATGTCACCTCTTCCCCCATTCTGCCTGGTACCAAGCTTGTGGAAAATTTTCCCCAACAGACAGTTTCTACCATAGAAAAAGTGAGATCAAGGTGGACAATCAGCTTCCCCACCATCTTGGGTTTCCCTAGCAGGAAACTTGTCCTTGTCTTAACCCACAGTAAGCATCATGACATCCTGAAGGGAGAAACATCCCTGGGGACAGGTAGAGACAAGGGAGAGGCAGATTTAGCATCCCTAGCCCTGAGAACTCCGCTCTGGGAACTGACCAAAAAAGATGACAAATCATAGTGGCCATTCAGTGGCTGGAGGAGGTTTCTCCCACAAGATCCCCTGGGCACAACCCCCTAGTTAGTTTCCCCACACTGCTGGGGCTAACCTCTTTGGGACCTCCCCAACTCAGGAAAGGCAGTGCTCCTATTGTTGACTAGAATGGAGTTGAACCCAAAAAGGAGGCAGTGACCTAGTGATGTGGTGCTTGGAGCAGTAATATACCTTAGCACGAAAAGATCACCAAGATAGTGGAAAAGTTGATCCCAAGTTCTCATGTAGTTGAGCTAAAGAACCAACCCCCAATCATCTACCTTAGGACATAATGTGAAAGAAAAATACATCCTATTATTTAAATCCTTCGTAGGCACATATTCTATAATTGTAAACAAGACATATATACCTCATCATTTCACAAACTTACCCCAAAATCCCCCTGGAGTGGTGGCAAGAAAATCCCATTAAAGGCACATTGGGAGTAAGGGCAGTAAGTGGTGTTGAAGAGCTCCAGGATGCTTTGATGGCACTGTTGATAGTTTCCAGTACCCTGGATTTCAAACTGCTGGAATGGAAGAGTCATCTCAAATCTTTTGGTGCAGGGGGTCTTGTAAAGGTCACTCACATTCACTACCTTCTTATATCCAGGATGAAAGCATGGGTCCCTGAGAATTTCATTACTTGCAACCTGGATGGAAAAATCACTTGAAAGCATCATTTGTGAATGCTTTGGATACAAAAGGCACAGTCTGACTTAATCAATATGCAGGCACTATACAATGTCCCACCACTTGGCATTGACATCAGTATGTCCTGCCCTGCCTTTTTCACCCTTGGGAATAAATATGAAAAATGGATTGTGAACAGGCACCAGAAGTGGTATCAGATATAAATGTATTTGGCTATTCAAAGAATGCTGATGTAGTTAAAACTGGGCCCAGAAATGCCATTAGTTTGAAATGTCCCTGAGTGCTTAGTCCTAATCATATAGGTCAGGAGCAGATTCAAAAGGAAACTCTCAAGGTTGTCAAAATTTGGGGCCTGAGGGTAGTTCTCCAGAAGCCTACATGATGATAATGATGTTATTACGGATCAACCCTCCCTCCAAGGAGAATCAGAAGCTCCCAGATGCTTTTAGGTCATTCAAGCCAACAGTATCAAAATAATTTTTTTTAAATTATTATTTAAACTTCTTTTAAAAAGTTTTTTTTCCTCCCTCAAACATTCTCCTATGCAATAAAAATTAAAAAAATAATTTCTAACCCACAACCTACTAAAGGAGGCTAGGCTGCTGTGGGTAAGAAGCTTAGTGGAACTTTAAGGCTCAGTGGACATCTCTCAGCACCCCTTACTCCCAGGACCATCTTATTGATAATGGCTTTAAAAACCAGAGAGAATACTTTGGAGGAGACCAGAGAACTGGTTATCCTTTCTGTGGAGACAGGGAACAGCTGGATGTGACATCCTGGCTTTGTGTTTACTTGTCAGGGTGTGCCTGTATACTCACATGATGTTGAGTATGTTTAACGTTATTTATTTTATTTATTTATTATTATTATTATTTTTTTAGATGGAGTCTCTGTTGCCCAGGCTGGAGTGCAGTGGTGCAATCTTAGCTCACTGCAACCTCCGCCTCCCGGTTCAAGTGATTCTCCTGCCTGAGACTCCCAGGTAGCTGGGATTACAGGTGTGTGCCACCATGCCCAGCTAATTTTTTTTTTTTTTTTGTATTTTTAGTAAAGATGGGGCCACCATGTTGGCCAGGCTGGTCTCGAACTTGTGATCTCAAGTGATCCACCTGCCTTGGCCTCCCAAAGTATGTTTAGCTTTTCTTGTCTTCAAAATGCAGAAAGCATCTGGGGGCAAGAGTTGAAGTGTCAATTGATACATTTTGTGTTTTACCTGAAGTGGTTTTTTTTCTTCTCCTCTCCAGGTCATTCCTAACAACTCTGTTTTTTGTACTTTGTAGGAAAAGGAGCTTTAAAAGTGGTCTAAAAGAGGTTATAAATTGAATTCCCCCTCCAACAAACAATATTCTATCACATAATTTTTATTATCAACCCCATAAAGGTGAGAAATTACGTCCTGAGAGATATCAGTTGTGTTCGTGGAAATAATGCAGTAAACAAACATGGGAGGTGATGTCTGGTTGAAACAATTTATACGGGTAGACCAGATGTAGTTCAATATCCTGCCTAAAAGGGTTTGGAAAGTACTATAACTAAGTTCAGACAAACTATTGAATTTGAAAGAGAAAACAACAGGGTGTGGGGGCTGGAGGCACAGATGTGAGGAGAGCAGGTCTGGATTGAGTTATACTTGCCTGAATGTCCTTGGCCAGTTTCTGCCAGAGTGCCTGATCCTTCCCATAGCACAAGAAGCTATGTGTGTAGATATTGTAGTCCTTGCCATACAGGCGAAATTGCAGAGCATTATCTGTGGACTCAATAGTCTGGTTTTGGGGTACAAAAGTGATTTGTGTAGAGGCTCCCCCAAGGTCCAAAGCTCCAAAGGTTTTCTGATTATCAGTTTTATATGGGATTATGCTGAACCATCTCCGTTTCTGAAAGACAGTACAGTTACCAGTGCTAGAAGTCCCTGGATACACTGCTTTTCATGCTATTTCTTGGAGTCAGGGATTTCCTAAGGCAAGAAAGAGGGGCATAAACCTCACTAGAGGCTCCTGATCTACAGCAGATTATCAGCAAGAAAAGAGGGGTTTCAAAGCCCTAGCTTAGACTGCCGGACATAGAAGCAGTGTAACTAGTGTTTACAAACAGGAGGTCTGAGGGCAGACACATTCCAGTTCAAATTCTCACTCAGTCGCTCGTTAACTATACAGCCATGGGCAGAATAATGACCCTCTCTAGGCATCAGTACAGGGGTCTAAAATGGGGATGAAGTAGTACCTCATACAGTTGTTCTAAGGATGAAATCAGAGAAAACAGAAGTGCTAAGCACAGCACAAGACAAATAGCAGTAGACAAATGTTAGCTATTCTAATTTTTAATGATAGATTTTTAATTTCCTTTATGCCTCCATAAGGTAAAGACATGTCCTCCTTATTCTCCTAATAATAGAAGGTCTTGTAAGAGACCCTTACAAATATGAGGGTAAATTCATTCATTCATTTATTCATCCATCTATCCATCCATCATTCATTCATTCTGCCTAGCGACCCAAGTACTGCCTGAGATAGCAATGACATTGGCCTCCATGGAGCCACCTTCATGGATGCTGTGAGATATTCACCTGACTGAATTTGCCCAGCAAATAGTTGATAGTAATCCAGCCATAAGCACCTTCCTCTTGGCCAGTAATGATTCTGGCACCCTGGAAGTCAAAAGGGTAGTTGCTGAGGCTCCTCTCTACCATACCCAGGACCCTGTCCGCCAACTCTTCACTTTCCATCCTGCACAAAGGAAGAGCTGAGGTTATCATTTTTGTTTTAATAAGTCACTACCCATTTCAGCTACAGCATCCACACAGTGCTACTAAGAAGTGAGCCATAATACACTGGAATAGAGAGATGAGGATCTCCACACATGGCTGTCAGAGGAACCTTTCTTTCCGATGAGGCAGAATTAATCTTTTCTTTGTCTCTCTCCAAATCCACATCCTTCAAATCCTTTCATAAGTTGGTTTTCCTTAAAATGCTATTTTTGTTCTGAAGTTCTCTGGCTCAAAAAGTTATCAAAGGCTCTTAAAATTACTGTGGTAGTGATAGCTGAGTTAAGTTTGATGACCACACCTGGAGCTGATGTGTGCTATATTAGCCATTGTGGGTGGCTCCTAGCTGGTTACATGGCCAGACTCTGCTCAAGGTTTTTAATTAGAATTTTAATAGAAACCAGGTGACAAATAACCTCTGCTACCAGGCTGGGAAAAATCTTCTTCATATTATAGCTTAGTTCTTGGGTCTGTTTGAGACCTTGAGACCTAAAGAAGGAATCTTCCATGGTTGTCTCAATGAAGATGGGATGCAGTTGCTTCCAAGATCTAGGCTACGCAATACTGGGAGTCTCTCTGAGCAGGAGGATGCTGTCTTCCAGCTGGCATTAGGCCGCTGTAATCGCTCATCTAAATGGCCTCCACGCCTACTAACTGCCTTCCTTTTATCCCCAGCTTTTTTTCCAGCCAATCCATCTTCTCTACCAGTGTCACCAGCTGTGTAGCATCCTTTAATGGCTTCCTGCTATCTCTAAGATAAACTCCAAACTTCCTAGCATGGCCCATGGGGCACTTTGTGACCTGGACCCTGTCTTTTCAGAATCCCACTCAGAATCCCAGCTCCACCACTTCTCAGGTGTGTGACCTTGGGTGAGTTTCTTAACATTTGTAAGCCACAGCTTCCTTATCTGGTTAATAATAATTAGAGTTATTATGATGGGTGCTTAAGAACATAGTATGGGCTCAATAAGTATGAGCTGCTATTATTATTATCATTATTATTTTACACTACGCACCCTATCTTCTATCTATGGAGAACTACTTACAGTCCTCTGAATATGCCCTGGTCTCTCACACTTCCTTGCCTTTGCACATCCAGTAGAACACAAGCTGCATGAAGTCAGACTTTGTCCTGTTCATTGTTATATCCCCAGTACTTAGAACAGTGCCTGACATATAATAGGTGCTGAATAAACATCAGTTACTGAATGCAGGCTGTCTGCTCTGCTGATAAAACCCTCCCCCAATCCACCAACTCATTTTTCATGATTCAGTTCATGCATCCCTTCCTCTAAGTCTTCCTGACCTCCTCTCACCCTGGGCAGGGCCAACTGTGCTCCTGGAGCAGCTCCGAGCACTCCTCTATTAAAACATTGATAAGCCTCTATTGAAACTGATTTCTTTGAGGGTTGAGAGTTTTCATATTCTGGATAGAGCAGGCACTCAATACATGCTGAATGAATAAATGAACAAGTGAACAAATAATTCACACAGGTATCAAGTGATATAAAGATGTGCAATTGTGATTATTTATGACCTGTGATGTCGATGAGTCTCCTCTTATCTTCCTTCTCCCACATATTGAATAGCTAAATATGTAGCCCCAAACCCCAGAGTATGCAGGCCCAGTCTTTCTCTCCCCATGCCCATCCTGCTTGAATTCCCCATAGGGAGATGCACAAAGGCTTTTTTTTTTTAACATACTTAAAATCATACCTCTATATATACTAAGAATTTGGAATTTGTATTCACTTACTGAAATTTTCTTTCTTAGGTATGGACTTGGGTGTGTAGAGTTTGGGGTATTAGGGAGTGTGGCCCTCTCCCATAACGACAGAGGCTCTTTCACTGCCAAATCTAACTCCCAGATACTCTTGATATACCTGAGCAACCGCATGCCTGCCGTGGCTCCCAGGTAAACGGGTGTCTCTTGGTGTTGGGACCTTGGAATCACTTCCCTAGCTCTTTCCATGCATTCAGTCAGGTACATGCCAATTTCATTTACTTTCTGAACATATTTTGAGATTCCAGGACCTAAGAAAAGATGTAGAAGATAACAATCTTTAAAAAAATACAAAACATACTTTGGCAATAGATCAAAATCTGGTGTTTTGAAGAAAAATAAGAAAACAATTTCCTGATGTACTATACATTATGTTATTATACTTAGAGGGTAACTCACTGGACCTAGCCTTGATAGGATTTAATTTCCAAACTTCGAGTTGAGTCTGTCCAGTGTTCAATAATTTTGCCACTGGATGGTGCAATTTCATATTCACACTGCATAACAGTCTCAGACTTTAATGGGGATCTTATAGCTACTCTATTAGCTGCTTTTTGATATTTCTTCCACAACATTGTAATTAATGACACTAGTTCCTAAAAGACCTAAAGATGACACTTAGAATAAAAATTAAGCAGCAGACAAATTGGCTTTTACTGAAAAGATGGAAGCTGCTACTACCTACCTGTGTGATCCTGGCCAGCACCCTAAGATTTCTGAGGTGGGCTTGCTTCCTGTTACAAGACAGAGGAATAGAATCTACGTCTCCTCAATGACTTTTCTACTCTGATATCCTGCCTCCCTAGCAAAACTGTTTTTCCAGTTTTAGAGCAAAACTGACTGTTGCTGTGGAGGATTGGAGCCAAGTTTCCTTCAGCTTTTTGAAGTTAACAACACTTTCATCTCACATTAAGATAAATGTCTACATTATCGGTGCTTCATAGCAGAGTATTTGCTTTAAAGATAATTTAAAAATAAGTTATCCAGATCATTCATAGGTTTTAAGACAGCCTGATTTCTTAACCATGAGAAAATCAGCTGTAATTTACCAGCTAATTGTTTCGCTTCAGAAAATCTGGTGTTAAATATTTGATTAATTAGAGAACTCTCTCTTTTGAGCAGCAAAAATCCTGCATTTGTTAGGCCAAACGCTCATGGGATGCATCTCATAAGAAAGACATCTGCTGGAGTAAAAATTAAAATAACTTGTAAAAATGAAAGGCAGTGGGTTAAATAAAAGCCAATAAAATGAGGAATTTGGGCTTTAAGAGAGGCTAGAAGTACTGTCTCAGTATTATTGATGGGGCCAAAGTCTCAGGATATCGGGGTACAGTGTAGAATGATCTGCTCTATTGGAAATATCTCCTCTCTACTACTTTCTTGACAAACCGTGAAAATTAGTGGATTCCACAGACTATCAAACTAAAAATCAGTTATCTTCTAGGATCTAGGTTATCACTCTGACTGAAAATAAACAGTGGGTTCCCAGCTCAAAAGGCTAAGAGATATATAAGTCAAGAGATTATGGTGCAATAGTGCATGGTGGGGTCCTGGATAAAGGGAGTGAAAGAGCTGAATGTCACAATTCTAACTTATATTACGACCTTAAAAAAAGTATTGATATATAATGCAGCAGTTCAGAGTAGCAGGAAGCCTAGAGTGTAATTAGGAGACCTAGATTCTTGTCCCAATTCTGTTGCTACTTGCAAGGCACTAATCCTCCAGGTTTTTGTTTCCTTTTCTGTGAAACAAAATTTAAATGATCCGTAAGTTCCTTTTCCCAGCCCTAAGAACCTGTAATTTGGTATTTCCTGTCTACACAGAGGCTGAATGCTTTGAAAATTTTCTTCCACACTACAGATCAGAGCACAAAAATTAAGAGAGCAATAAATCTCCAAACCAGCAGGATTGGCATCACCTAGGAACTTCTTAGAAATACAAATTCTCAGCATCCCAGACCTGCTGACTCAGAAACTCTAGGGGATGGGGCCCATCATCTGTGTTTTTTAACAAGCTCATGCAGTTTCAAGTTTGAGAAGCACTGGCTAAGATGTAGATTTGAAGTTGGGCAAAATTTAGTTCGAACCACAGCTCCGTCACTTAGTAGCTCCAGTAACAAACAAGTAGTATAACCTCTCTCAACCTCAGTGCCCTCATTTTAAGAGAAATTAGATAATAATACATTCCTCAAAGGGAGATGATAAGGGTGAACTGAAGTAACACGTTTGGTACTAACTACATAGCATGTAGATGTGTTCTGTTGATGGGAGCTACTATGAATTATATTTATGTGTGTTTATTAGGGTTTGATCATTAAGGACTGATTTCAGTATAATTTCTGTAATAATAACATAGCAATAGCAGATGCAGTGTGTTCTTCACTTGGCGTCCTATGCTTTGGGCTCCTTTTCCTCTTGTGTTCTACTGGCCATACACCTCCCATGTTCTCATGCCCCATTGTCAGCCTCCCCTTCCCTTGGAATTCATCTTACCTTTAACCCTGCATTCTTCTACTTGATGCACCACCCCTGTGTCATTCTCCTTTTCTGCTGGCCACTTATAGATGTATAAACTTGTGTGAGAAGAACCTGCATCCAGCACAATCCCATACTGAAAGCAAAACAGACCAAAAACATCAGTATCACATCACTCATCTCCATATTTGGCTTGCAAGAGAAAGGACTAGAATTTTCTAAAACATGAGGAGAAAGATTTGAGAGGAGCACTGAGCGGGTGGCGCTGGAGTCACTCCAATCACAGGATCTACCAGCCCTGCTAGAACGGGGCTCTTCATGCTGGTTGCACATTAGAAATATTCAGACCTTATGCAGAACAGGGCCCAAGTATTGTTTAGAAGCTTCTTAGGTGATTCTACTGTGCAGCCAAGATTCAGAACCACCTGCTGAAGTAGCTAAGACACTGTGGAAGGAACAAAAAGCCATTAATCTATAGTCCCCAAACTTGTCTACACATTGGAATCAGATTGGAATCACCTGGAAAGCTTCAACAGCTACTGATGCTTGTGTCCTAGATCCAGATATTGTGATCTGACTGATCTGGTATGTGGCCTGGGCTTTGGAATTATTTTATAAGGTCCCATGTGAATCTAATGTGCAGATAAGTTTGTGAACCTCTGAGTTACTCCATTGAGTGCCAGTAAGACATAATAAATACCTCTAATTTTAGTTCAGTAAATGCAGAATTTGTTTTAAAGAGAGGTATAAAAAAACACTAAATGCACTCACTTTTAAATTATGAATATAACTAAAATTGTATTTATTTTAAAAGGTACTTAAATTTCATGTTTTGGCTTTACAATTAGGGAAAAATAAAAAGAAAAAAGGAAAGAAAGTTGGCAGAGGAGGATAGAAGACAGCATGAGGAAGAACTAGATGGTCAGAAGACAAAGAGAGAACAAAGTCGCCATGTTATATTTCATGAGTGTACTAAATGTACCAGGCAGGTATTGTATTAAAGCAACCTATATGAATTATCCAACTTAACTCTCAAAACAATGCTATAAAGCACGTACTATTTTTATCTCTCCTATATAGGTGAGAAACTAAAGTACAAAGAGGTTCAGTATTTACTCAAGATACACAGCTGATGGGTGACAGAGCCTGGACTTGAATCAAAGTCACACCCAAGACCTTATACACAGAAACACAGAAGTGAGGACCGGGCAATAGTTTTCAAATTGGTGCCCCCCCGCAACTTTTTTTTGAGATGGCGTCTCGCTCTGTCACCAGGCTGGAGTACAGTGGCGCGATCTCAGCTCAATGCAACCTCTGCCTCCCAAGTTCAAGCGACTCTCCTGCCTCAGCTGCCCGAGTAGCTGATAGTACAGGCATGCACCACCACGCCTGGCTAATTTTTGTATTTTCAGTAGAATTGGGGTTTCACCACATTAGCCAGGATGGTCTCGATCTCTTGACCTCATGATCCGCCCACCTCGGCTTCCCAAAGTGCTAGGATTACAGGCGTGAGCCACCGTGCCAGCCAGTGCCCCCTTTTAAGGACATTAAATGAGGGTAGCTACAGTAAAGTATGCACATATTAGGTATATACCTCAATAAATTTTTGCATATGTGCACATCTATATAACCACCACACAGATCAAGATACAGAACACATTCCAGCCCTCATAAGGCTTTCCGATCCCCCCTCAGTTTCCCGCTCTCAGTCAGTTCCACTGTCTTGACTTCTACCACCATGTATGAACTCTGCCTGTTTTTGAACTGCAGTGCATGAACTCACATAGTATGCCTCACCTCCTTTATGTCTAACTTCTTTCACTTTACATTATGTAAGGTGCACTCAAACTGTGTGTATATGTAGTTCATCTTTTTCCATCACTGCAGAGTATTTCATTATATGGATATACTATATTTTTGTCCATTCAACTTGATGGACATTTGGGTTATTTCCAGTTTGGGGCTACTGGAAATATAGCTACTAGAAACATTTTGTGCATTTCATTTTGTGGAAGAAAGCTTTCATTTCTTTGGGGTATTTACCCAGTAGTAAACTGCTCAATGCCCATTTTGATCAATTGATAGTCACCTTCAGTTATATCCCTAGGCTTACTCAGGATTAAAAAAATGCCATGATTAATTAATGACATCTGCCCTGAGCTGGAGAAGAACATGATGGCATATGTGCTTTTTAATCTTTCTGAGAGAAGAAACATAGAGGGAAGTAATGGTGAAGCAAAAGGAAGAGAAGCAGGAGACGCTTCTGAAATGTGAGCCAACTACTTTTGTCACAGGGCTACTTATTTAAGCTACAGTCCTCAAAGTGTGGTCTGCTACTTTAAAATTGCTTAATTTAGCTGTGGGTTTTGTGTGTGTGTGTGTGTCTGTGTGTGTGTCTGTGTGTGTATCACCCTACATACATACACTAGGTTGCTTGAACAGAAGCAGCGGTCTGGAAAGAGGAACAGTAGAAATGACTTTGTTTCATTCATGGAGACACCAATGCAGGGGCCCCAGTGAAGAACTGAAAATGTAGGTGGCAATGGGTACATATATCACCTGCTGGGAACCTAAGAGACTCCAGGGAGAAAAGAAGACAAGAAATAGGTTTTAAGAGACCTCCCTGGACCACTAGGAATAGCTAAAAGTAGAGTCTATTAAGTGTCAAACCTTATTCCATTTCACTAGACCAGGGAGTATCACCATGCAGACCTTGTGAGGATCCTTGACCTTCCATAACCTCCACAGTGGTCTCTTCCTTGTTACACACAGTGGGGATTCCCTCCAGCAATTAGCATTATGCTTTTAGAAAGAAAAGGGCCTGTATGCTTGCTTTGGGCACAGCAAGGAAGAAAGCTGGACAGACTCCTCTGCAGCTAGGCTTGCAGTGAAAGGAATCCAAGAAATGGCTTAGGTGGTGACCATTGTGGGCACAGAGGAACACTGACTGAGGTCTGGGGCCACTGGACCTATGAGAAACCTTCCAGAGTGGAGAAAGAGGCTCGGGGATTACCTGGCAGAATATTCTGTTGCTCCCTAACAGGGCCCCTGATTTCTTCTTGCCAGAAAATGTTCCAACCACAGCAGCATATGACAAAAGCTGGCAAGGTAGAAGCAGCAAGCAGACTTTATCTGGGATCAGGACATTTTATTCTAACTTTGTTGATATGAAAGTCATTCTCCCATAGAGCCAAAGAACAAGGCTTGCTTCTGTCAGCTTGTTTCTCTAAGGCCTTACACAGTGAGGTAGTGGAGAAACAAGAGCTTTTACTACATTTTCATTTGACAAGTGTTTGAGAAGGGAGTAAAGCATATTTTAACGCAGAAATTGAGGACATTTCATCTTGTGTACACAGTACACTAGAACACTAACCTGTGCAACAGTGCCAAACATTGTGTCCTCTAAAATGGCTTGCAGAATAAAAAACTGGCATTGCTTGCTGCTTGAGAGACAGATAAAGCTTGACTGAAAGTTCAGTTTGAGCATTTGGGGAGTTTGCCTTTCTTTGTTACAATATCCATCAGAGCCCAGGTAGCCACAACGTTTTGTTCTCTTTCTACCACGAGCATTTTTCAATCCATGTTCCAGAGAATATGAGGCCGGCAAGGGCTTCAGTAAATAAAGCTTCCAAGAAATTTGGGGAATATTCATGTTCTTGCTGCCTCCTGGGTTCACATGCCCATTAGCTAGTGAATGCCTCAAAGTCTGGCAGTGGAGAAACCCAGTATTTCTCTGTAGTTCATATTTAAAATATTTCCAAAAGTCCCTTTGAGTATATCTTTTAAAGAAAACAGCAAGGTTTGGGTGGTAAGGAAGAGAACTGACACTCCCTCATTATTATTTCATTATTCTTTTCTTTTTTTTTTTTTTTTTTTTTTTTGAGACTGGAGTTTCGCTTTTGTTACCCAGGCTGGAGTGCAATGGCGCAATCTCGGCTCACTGCAACCTCCGCCTCCTGGGTTCAGGCAATTCTCCTGCCTCAGCCTCCTGAGTAGCTGGGATTACAGGCACGCACCACCATGCCCAGCTAATTTTTTTTTTTGTATTTTTAGTAGAGACGGGGTTTCACCATGTTGACCAGGATGGTCTCGATCTCTTGACCTCGTGATCCACCCGTCTCGGCCTCCCAAAGTGCTGGGATTACAGGCTTGAGCCACCGCGCCCGGCCCATTATTTTCTATTTTAAGAGTACTAGCCCAGGCACGGTGGCTCACGCCTGCAATCCCAGCACTTTGAGAGGCTGAGGTAGGCAGATCACAAAGCAAGAGATCAAGACCATCCCAGCTAACATGGTGAGACCCTGTCTCTACTAAAAATATAAAAATTAGCTGGGTGTGGTGGTGTGCACCTGTAGTCTCAGCTACTCAGGAGGTTGAGGTAGAAGAATTACTTGAATCTGAAGGCAGAGGTTGCAGTGAGCCAAGATTGTGCCACTACACTCCGGCCTGGCGACAGAGCAAGACTCTGTCTCAAAAAAAAAAAGTACTAAAAGTTTCTTAAATATCACTTACAAAATAAAGTAAAAAAAAAAAAAAAAAGATGTTTAAGATTCTACCATTTAGATATCACTGTTATTTTTATTTTCTTCCAAGTATTTTTTGAATGCATAGTATTGCCCAAAGAAATCATAGAATTAGAAAAAAAACTATTCTAAAATTCATATAGAACCAAAAAAGAGCTCAAATAGCCAAGGCAATCCTAAGCAGAAAGAATAATGCCAGAGGCATCACATAAGCTAAGTTTAAACTATACTACAGGGCTATGATAACCAAAACAGCATGGTACTGGTACAGAAATAGACACATAGACCAGGGAAACAGAATAGAAACCCTGAAATAAAGCCATGCACTTACAACCAACTGATCTTTGACAAAGCTGACAAAAATTAAAATGGGAAAAGGACTCCCTATTTAATAAACGGTGATGGGAAAACTGGCTAATCATATGCAGAAGAATGAAGAGCCCTACATTCTCACCATAATCAACTCAAGGTGGATTAAAAACATATCTGTAAGACCCTCAAACTGTAAAAGTCATAAAAGCTGGGCATGGTGGCACATGCCTGTAGTCCCAGCTACTTGGGAGGCTGAGGTGGGAGGATTGCTTGAGCCCAGGAGTTCTGGGCTGTAGTGCACTATGCCAATCAGGTGTCCGCACTAAGTTCAGCATCTATATGGTGACCTCCCAGGAGCAGAGGACCACCAGGTTGCCTAAGGAAGGAGGAACCGGCCGAGGTCGGAAATGACACAGTCAAAACTCCCCTGCTGATCAGTAGTGGGATCTCACCTGTGAAGAGCCACTGCACTCCAACCTGGGCAACATATCGAGACCTGGTCTCTTTAAAAAAAAAGTCATAATGCCAGGCGTGGTGGCTCATGCCTGTAATCCCAGCACTTTGGGAGGCCAAGGCAGGTGGATCACAAGGTCAAGAGATCGAGACCATCCTGGTCAACATGGTGAAACCCCGTCTCTACTAAAAATACAAAAAATCAATTGGGCATGGTGGGGCATGCCTGTAATCCCAGCTACTCAGGAGGCTGAAGCAGGAGAATTGCCTGAACCCAGGAGGCAGAAATTGCGGTGAGCCGAGATTGCACCATTGCACTCCAGCCTGGGTAACAAGAGCGAAACTCCGTTTCAAAAAAAAAAAAAGTCATAAAAGAAAACCTAGGAAATACCCTCCCAGACATTGGCCTCAGTAAAGAATTTATGACTTAAGTCCTCAAAAGCAAATGCAATGATAACAAAAATTGACAATTGGGACCTAATTAAACTAAAGAGCTTCTGCACAGCAAAAGAAACCACTGACAGAGTAAACATGCAACCTACAGAATGGGAGAAAATATTTTCCAACTGTGTATCCAACAAAGGACTAATATTCAGAATCTACAAGGAACTCAGCTCAACAGGAAAATAAATAAACCCATTAAAAAGTGGGCCAAAGACATGAACAGACCACTTCTCAAAAAAGAGACATATAAGAA